TGGTGAACTGGTTCGACTGGTTCACTGAAAAGAACCGGTTAAAAATAACGATTCGTTCGCGAACCGGACATCACTACCAGTCATTGCGAGGATCAGCGTCCACAGATCGGTAGGTAACGTATCTCAAGCCTGTGTTATTGATTTCTTCACACCACCTTGTTTATTCCCGCACAGCGCCAAACGACGTTGCTGTCACAACCTAATATGTTTGCACCAGTGTCGGTTTCATCCTGGGGAGTCTGTTAGTTGCAAGAATTTAAACTTTGTCTCCGAAATTCATGTTAGCCATAGGTAACTCTGCTCTAGTGTAGGAATTATCTAGCTAATCTAGCAGGTTTGGGTTATGAAAACAGCAGCCTACTTTTAGACAGTCAGGATTATGTTTGAAATATAGTGCGTAGGTATCTAAATGCAGTTGCTCTGTGTTTGTGCAATATGTCTAGGCTAAATGTACGTGTAGCTTGTTAATGAGCAATAGGCTAGATTGCATTAGAGATGGGGTGAAGAAAAGCTAGTGTTATACCTGAACTATAATAAATTCATGTTTTTGACACTGGGATACCAGAGAAGGTGATAGATAAAAGCACAAAACTTAAAAACAAGTTAAACCAAAGCATAATAAAGAACAATCCAGAAGCATGTTAATTGCCCTAACACTAAAGAACTAGGCTTGTTGGTTTGGCAACCCGAGCTCATGCAGTGTTGGCTCAGCTGTAATTGTTATTTACCATCATAATTTCTGTGAACTAATTTGGTAATGTTATTTTGTGTCATATGTAATCCTATTTATGTATTCTTTTGTCTGCCCTGCAGATTAATTGTGAGGCACCCAATATTTCTCAGAGGCCTGTCTATTACTTTTCGTCATCTTTATTTTCTGCCTTTTTAATATTTTCTTCATCCCAACATTTCAGTAAGTATCCAAGGATAAAAGTTATTTTCTTCACTGTACAAACCAAATCCCAGTCTTCAAAAGGTTATTTAAAGGCACCATAGTGTTATATGCTGTGCCAGCACATTTCTGCACATATCTGTTGCTAAACACATGTAGATGTCCAATTAGCATTAGGGGAGTAACTACTAACCAATTCAAGTTTGATGTAGGCACAGCAAGTCACAAAACGATTATACCAGGTTCTGTGGATTAGTCAGATATGTGTTTCGACAAAAGTTTGTCAGTTATTGGATTAGATTGACACCATTGTTAAATAGGTAAAATGTCTTAGCAATTAAGGATTTTTTTTTTTTTACAATGATAACAGAAGTAATACATTCTTCTTTCTGGTTTACAGCATCACCATACCATGTCGAAGAGGGGAGGGGGGCTGAAGAAAACTTGCCCTGCATGTAAAGAGAAGATTTTTAATGGATTTAAAATGTGCCCTAACTGCAAGGCCCCACAGCCTGAAAATCTTAGATTATAAAAAAAAAAATCGAAAAATTTGAACAAAAAAAGGACATATGGGTAGCGAACAACAAAAGAAATCAGGTGATCTCCCACTTACTGGATGATGCAGTCATTTTGGTAAGTAACTTGTATTGTGCTATGTCACCATAGTAGAAATGATCTTATCAGAATGACAGGTCCTGGTGGCGTGCAGTGATTTTGGGGTCTTTGAAATGCATGTATTTTTTCAAATGGCAGGTTAGCGTTTCTTAATTGGTGGTTCACAATGCTATCACTATGCGGGTTAGTGGCAGTTTTACACACCTTTCAGGTTATATATCTGACTGCCTGATTCTGAGACAAGATTATGCATCATATTTATGGAGGCTATTTATTCAACAGTTTCAGCATCTTAACTTTACCCTATTATCATTGAAAAACGTTGCAAACATAGACCAGAGACTCTCAGGATCAGGTCATAGCCTGCAGTACTGTTGTGATGTTTCACAGCTCTTCATATCAAGAACAGTTGACTTTTCCCTTGTGAGCGGCTCGCACAAGTGCCAGTATGTTAGCACATGGTTTGTGTTTTGTGTTTTGTCAATATACTGTCTACTCTTGTGATTTGTCAAATAAGTACAGTCTGCTTTGATCCTAAGATTTTCATGTTGACCTGTATTTGTGTCCCAGCTTTGTGATATGCACACAAAGATCCATACACACCACACCAAAGCACTTGTAATTGTTTTTAATGTTTTTTTTTTTTTTCAGATAGAGAAGCTTTCACATGATATTCAACATGTAAAGGAAAAAGTTCTTGGCATATCATTAAATGTTTTTCACTATATTAAGAACATGGCACACACATATATTAAAGATTTTAAAGGATTTCTCCATCTCATTGTCTGACATCCTTATTTGCATATCCTTATTAATGTAGTCCATAAATACGCAGTAATTGTGACACTGCATTGATTTAAGTGATTAGCACTGATACATGATCTCCTTGAGGCCATGGGACTAAAATCTTAAGAGGCTTGACAAAATGGTCAAGTTCTAAACAAATTGGTTTCTGGATGAATGACCTACCCGGCCTCGTCCACCACAGGGGCTTGGTCAAAAGCCTTCTCTTTCAGGATCTGAATAGTCTTCATGATGGACACTAAAGGCAGCACAGTCAGTGGGGCAGAGAGTCGGAGCTCCTGTAGAGTCAGATTCCACCACCTTCAGAGAGAGGAGCGCAGAGAGACGGGACAGGTGGAGGGGGAGGAGAATAAAAACTCACGGTAAGAAGACACACGGACAGACTCATTTGGGAGAGAAATGTCTCCACATTTAGAAGCTGAACTGTAGCTGTAATGCAGACTAGTGTAGTAACAGATGCAGAGAGTGTCTATATTTGCACAGGATATCGGCATGTAAATAATAAGGGTGCTTTCAAAGAAAACATGCTTATGAGGGTATGTGTTTACGCTCACCATGGCTTGCTGACAACAAGATCCTCCTCACTCAGGAAGCCCTTTTCACACATCCACTTGTCGCTAAGAAATTTAGACCTGAGGGTGAGGAGAACAAATAATTTGTTTTAAAGGTACATCAACATAAAGCTTAATGCATACGGTTTTTAGTATAATATAGCATGCAAGGATAGATGTTTGAAATGCAATTACAAAATCATGCTACACACTGTTATGTGACCACACTATGTTACATGTTTACATTACCAAGTGGCTTTTCACTGCATCAAGGGAGATGGAATTTGCATACTACTGTAGGTACAATACACATACTGTGCATTCACTGATGAAGTAGCATGCAGTGTTGGAGTAATTAACTAAAAGTAATGCATTTAGTTTAGTAGCATCACTGTTTTATATATATACAGGGCCGTCGCAAACATGGTGTGAGGCCCAGTGTGAGTTAGTGGATGCGAGGTTTCATCATATGAGTGGGCTAATCGTGAGAGACAGGTAGGAGTTAAAAGACCCGCCTGCATCATTTAAATCAGTGGTGTAGGATAACTTCAGGCTATGTTTGCACGTAGCCGGGTATTTATGAAAACAGATATATTCTCCTCCTCCGTATTAAAAAAATAATTCCGTTCACACAACGCTCAACAACAGCCGGGGAAGGCTGTCAAACACATCAAACAAATAGATAGCACTTCAGACATGCTAACGCACATCCGACAGCATCACCCAGAAATGCCTATCACTGAAACTAGACCAAAGAAAAGTGTCTAGTTAGGCCTACTTCTCCCAACCGTACTTCACCAACCATTAGACACAAACTTGGATCTACACTCACCACTGATAGAGTGGACAAACTTGTTTTTTTAAGAAAAACTTAAAAATAGAATAAAGCTTGAATACTTTTGAGAGGTGCATGCCTAATATTGCAAAATGTTAATGTGGTTGTCCTCCAAAGCACAAAATTGTGTTTGATTTGTAGATATGCTAGCCTAGTAGTATATTGCCTTTCTTTTGCATCTGGTAGGCTGAAATGATTGAAATGAAAACTTTTATTTGAGCGTTTTCATTGCAAACAAGATGCATTTCAATTTTTTAACCTTGTGTGATTTTCTTTTTACATCAGCCACCATATATGTATGATCTGTGCTTTACTCTGAGCTTTACTCTTTAGTTTGCACTTTGATAAAATTAGAGAATGTGTCATTTTTAGTTTTCTTGCCAATTGTGTCGGTTCTCATTTGTTTACCTTTAAACACAGCCTTTTTTATTACGCGTTTTTTTTACCCTACATTGTACCGAAAATGTATCGAACCGTGGGGTCTGAACTGAGGTACGTACCGAACTGTGACTTTTGTGTACCGTGCCACCCCTATCGGTTGATAAGCGACAATTCTGTACGTGCTATGTGATTGCCATGGTGGGCGGTGACAGAGATAGATTACATTTACATTTACATTTAGTTATTTTGCAGACGCTTTTATCCAAAGCGACTTACAATTGGGGGATACATAAAGCGATTCTTCTTAAAGAGGCAAACAGATACAAGAAGTGCTTGTAATACCAAGTTTCTAGACATTGTTCAAATAAGTACAAGCTAGAAAGAGAAGGAATAAATAAAGAGATAGAAATTTTTTTTATGATGAAGTCAAGTAGCTTTGAAAGAGATGAGTTGTCAGGGATCCAGCATTCCGGATAGGGGTGGGAAGATCGTTCCACCAGCCAGGAATGGTGAACGAGAATGTTCTGGAAAGTGATTTTGAGCCTCTCTGTGATGGTA